GGAAATAAAAAATTAATTGAGAAATTATTACTTTGATATTAAGAAAAAGAAAACTTAAGAATTAAAATTATCTAGGAGAAAGTGAATTTATAAATAATTAGAGAATAATTAAATATTCTTTGAATATATATAATAAATTATATCATAGACATATATAAGTTTTTTCTGCATAGCCAATCATTCTTGATGAAGCAGATTTAGAAGGTGAAGGAGAAGCTTTTTGGAATATTGAAATTTTATAATATTGTAGAATTTTACTATGAAGAAACTCTAAAAAAATCAGAGTTAAGTTGGAAAAATATTGTAGTTTTAGGTTATTGAAGGAAATTGTTAAGTGAATCATTTTAAGACTTTAAGTTAATTATTATTAAAATTTTATATATAATCTTCCCGTTCCTGAAAATGAAGTTTTTAATTCATTGATTATAAATATTTAAATAATAAATCAAAAAAATGACGTATTAGTAAATCATTTTTGTTGTCCTTTTATGCTATTTTGTGCACGGCTAAGAATATGTTCATGAGTTAGGAGAGAACATTTTTCAATATACAAGGGTTTCTTATTGTTCTATTGATGTAATTAATTAATGGGATTGCGAGCCTTGCAAAAGGCATCCAAACATGAAACACATCTAGGTTCATAATAATGAAGAAGCATAAGCATAAGGTTATTGTGCTTATGATGAGGATTTAAATAGAATAGTTGTTGCTATAAGAGGAAGTGTAAACGCTGTGAATTACTTAAATGACTTAGATTTTATAAAAAGAGATTACTAATACTGTTTAGGATGTAAGGTTCATTAAGGATTTTATGATACCTATTAAAATATAGCTGAGGGTCTTGTAAATTGTGTCTAAGATTTAAATATTCTCTATCCAGATGCAGAAATCCTAGTAACTGGTCATTCATTAGGAGCAGCTGAAGCAACTTTTGCCGCACTTGAAATCAAAAGAACAGTTGGAAGGATCAACATATTTTATAACTATGGAACTCCAAGGATAGGAAATGACAAATTTGCCGATTACGTTGAATCTGAATTAAAAGGATTATTCTTAGCTAGAATTATTAGAGATAAAGATACCTTTCAACATACTCCTTTGCCTGGACAAGGATTTTCTCATTATGGAAACGAAATATTCTATGATGAAAACATGTTGAATTTCAAGATTTGTGGTAGAGAAGATTCCAAAGTAATTCATTTTATTAATATAGTGTGGAAATAAATATATTTGGCCAACCTAATGGAAACTTGACCATCATTTATATTTATATGGCCAATGTGCAGGATGCACTTAAGAAGGATGTGAAAAAATTTTGAAATTATATTCATGATGATGATTAANGGAAATAAAAAATTAATTGAGAAATTATTACTTTGATATTAAGAAAAAGAAAACTTAAGAATTAAAATTATCTAGGAGAAAGTGAATTTATAAATAATTAGAGAATAATTAAATATTCTTTGAATATATATAATAAATTATATCATAGACATATATAAGTTTTTTCTGCATAGCCAATCATTCTTGATGAAGCAGATTTAGAAGGTGAAGGAGAAGCTTTTTGGAATATTGAAATTTTATAATATTGTAGAATTTTACTATGAAGAAACTCTAAAAAAATCAGAGTTAAGTTGGAAAAATATTGTAGTTTTAGGTTATTGAAGGAAATTGTTAAGTGAATCATTTTAAGACTTTAAGTTAATTATTATTAAAATTTTATATATAATCTTCCCGTTCCTGAAAATGAAGTTTTTAATTCATTGATTATAAATATTTAAATAATAAATCAAAAAAATGACGTATTAGTAAATCATTTTTGTTGTCCTTTTATGCTATTTTGTGCACGGCTAAGAATATGTTCATGAGTTAGGAGAGAACATTTTTCAATATACAAGGGTTTCTTATTGTTCTATTGATGTAATTAATTAATGGGATTGCGAGCCTTGCAAAAGGCATCCAAACATGAAACACATCTAGGTTCATAATAATGAAGAAGCATAAGCATAAGGTTATTGTGCTTATGATGAGGATTTAAATAGAATAGTTGTTGCTATAAGAGGAAGTGTAAACGCTGTGAATTACTTAAATGACTTAGATTTTATAAAAAGAGATTACTAATACTGTTTAGGATGTAAGGTTCATTAAGGATTTTATGATACCTATTAAAATATAGCTGAGGGTCTTGTAAATTGTGTCTAAGATTTAAATATTCTCTATCCAGATGCAGAAATCCTAGTAACTGGTCATTCATTAGGAGCAGCTGAAGCAACTTTTGCCGCACTTGAAATCAAAAGAACAGTTGGAAGGATCAACATATTTTATAACTATGGAACTCCAAGGATAGGAAATGACAAATTTGCCGATTACGTTGAATCTGAATTAAAAGGATTATTCTTAGCTAGAATTATTAGAGATAAAGATACCTTTCAACATACTCCTTTGCCTGGACAAGGATTTTCTCATTATGGAAACGAAATATTCTATGATGAAAACATGTTGAATTTCAAGATTTGTGGTAGAGAAGATTCCAAAGTAATTCATTTTATTAATATAGTGTGGAAATAAATATATTTGGCCAACCTAATGGAAACTTGACCATCATTTATATTTATATGGCCAATGTGCAGGATGCACTTAAGAAGGATGTGAAAAAATTTTGAAATTATATTCATGATGATGATTAAATATTATTTATCGATCTAAATAAAAACATTCTTTTATTCCATTATAAATATTTTTTATTATTGATGATTATTTATATAATATAAGACTAACATAATCAAAATTATTGATAAACGACATAAACAGCCCCTGTAACAGCTCCAACGACCAACGCAGGTCCTGCTACAGCTACTATTCCTGACATTGCCAAACTTTATGCTGTAGCAAAAGCGCTTCCTGCTATTACATTCCCAATACCTGCTTAGGTGGCTGCAGCAAAAGTTCCTGCGATAGGCCCTGTAGATGAAAATCCTAAAATAGTTAAACCACCCTTAGCTACTATTGTTGCTCCAACTGTTGTTGAAGCAAATATTTCTCCTCCAGTTTTTAAATCATCCAAAAATGAGCATTGAGCCTATCCAATTATTAAGAAGATGAGCAAGCATACATATATTTATTTTTTCATTTATTTAATAATTCAGATTAATACTTTAAAATTTTTGCTTTTAAAGACTTTTTCATGAAAAATTTAATATAATCATAATTTTTATTTATAGAATTAAAATTCATATTATTAATAGTAACAAAGCTCCTATATAATTCCCCTATAAAATAAAATTAGTTCAAAAGTCTAAAATTTATTTGAAAATTATATATTTATACTAATTTTTAAGCAATTCTAAATTATTCAAGTTTAATTTTGTTCATTTTAATTTTATTAGTTCTTCAAAATTTTTTATGGTCAATATCTATAGTATAATTATCAAATTTAGATCACCAAGTAAAAAAATGAATATTCGAATAATAAATTATTTTAATTGTTTTTTTCACTTATTAAAAGAATTTTGTCTTTTTAAAGACTTCTTTTGTTTGATTATCTCAAAGTGCCGAAAAAAAATTTATAAAATGTTTAGAAATTTAAGATTGCTTAAGAATGCCCAATTATTTAAAAAAATAATTGTAATAAACAATATATTTTAATGCTTTGTTTATTTACTTTTTATGATGGATATTATAAATGAGAATAAAAATATTGTTCAATATTAAACATTTCAATTTATCAAATAATATTAATTTTTATATCAACTATGTAAAAATATATGCAACAAAAAAATAAATAGTAAATTTCAATGTGCATTATTAGGGAATTGATGATTCATTAGAGAAGACTGAGCGATATTTAACAAAGAAAGAGTTCCATCCCAAAATTAGACAAAACTGTTGATACATACAAATAAAACAGATATATTACTGCTAGAAAATAAGAAATATATAAATGGGAAGGAATAATGAAATAAAATTAGAAGTTACTAAAGAAAATAAATAATGTTGAGTCATCATTTCAAAAATCTGTAAATATTCAATAAAATATTCTTGTATTCAAGATAATCTATTCGTAGTGTCAGCTCTTGTAATTCTAGAAAATCGATTGAATTAAAAGAAAATTTGTAAAAGGAAAATGCTAGAATGCAACTTAAACTATAGAAAATGTAATAATTTTTGGAGATTTCATTTTTAGAACTTCAACTTTCAAAAAGTCAAAAAAATAGACTGAAAGAATTTCTAAGTCTAGTCAGAAATTAGAAAAATTGAATAAACCCAATAATAGTTAAGAAAAAAGCTTTAATATTCAACCTATAATGAATTATAGGTATCAAGGGAAAGGCTTTACAAAATAAAAAAGCTTTCGTTAATCTGGAGAAGAGAAATAATAGATAATGTCAATTATCTAAAAATATCAATAGGTTTTGGATTAACTACTTCCTGCCATCAAACATAATAAATTTAACATATGAAAAATATAGATTTGCATATTAATTCAAAAATTCTTGGGAAGTGTCTTGCATTTATCACAAATTTTTTAAATGAACTCAATCAATTTTTCGTTTTCCTCTTTCAATTTTTAATTTTCAATTAATAAATTATTATTTAGTATTTCTTCTGTGTGTTCTGAAATTTAATTCTTTTTCTTAAAAATGATTGAAAAATACATACTTCTAATTTTGACAGTTCTTCTTTTAATTAATTATTAACTTATTATTGTTAATAATTTAAATTTAATGAAATTTTAAGTTTATTTTATAAATCCTCCTTAGATGCTTCACTTTCAGGAAGATTATTGACTGATTCTTCAGTCTTTTTGTTTATTTTTGAATGAATGCTATGAATACTTTGATGAAGCTGTGACTGTAGCTCAAATATGGAATGACACATAGATTTTTGTGAAATTTAGGAAATAAAAGTTGTACTATTAATAAGTTCTTTAGAAAAGGCTGTTGAAATGATATTAGATTATGAATTCAATTGGCATGATGAACCAAACGACTAAACAGATTATATAACAGAAAGGTTTATTTTGTCTACAATTTGCTTTAAATAATACATAGAAGTCTTTACTTTATAAATACGTTATCTAAGTGCATTCAATTCAGAATCTAGAATTTATTATTGTTATTCTTCATCTAAATTTTCACTATTTTATAATGAAAACGAATCCAACGATAATCTAGGTTGAGAAGTGAGTTCACTTAGATAATGTCCAATCACTTCGTTTAATTTTAAACCTAATTGATCTAATGTAGTGTTAAACTATTCATTTTATTGAAAATCAAACAATGGACTTTCATAGTTTTCCTAATTTATTTTTGTTTTAATTTCCGCATGATTATTACCTGATCCCAAATAAAAATCTTTGAGACCTAAGATATTTAAATCATTCAATGAAATAGAACTTTGAAGGTCTTCCTTATCTTTACTTGATAAATTTTTTTTATCAGTCTAAAATTTAAATAACAAATACATTTTCATTTGTTTAAGTACTTTCTTTATCATTATTAGATTGGATTGGCAACTTAGTTTAGGAATGGGAGCGCGAAATACCACAAATGTCTAAATCATTGTCTGATGAATTCTCATTTTCATTTCTCATCTGATTATAAAGTATATATAAAAAAGTTAATTTTTGATATCTAACTCAAATTAAAATCTTTTAAGTTATTTTAATTTTTTGTCGAGTTTTGTGACAAAAAGAATGAAAACAAGATGTGTCAAAGAAATTAAATATTATTCATAATTTATTTATTATGATTTTTAAAATAACTGAGGAATCTAACATAAATAGACCTCGATAAATTGAAAGTTTATCTAAAATTTCGCCAACATCTAAAAGAAATAGAAAAACTGAACTTTTATATATGAGTAAAATGAATGCTTTTAGTCAATTGAAAAATTATTAAATTGATTATTTTTAAAGATCAATTAAAAGTGTAGAATTCCTAAGGGGAGATTTAATTTTTTAAGAAGGATAAAAATGCGATGCTATATATGTGATCAAATAAGGAGAAATAGAAATATTTAAAAAGAAACCTTTAATCAACAGATTGAAATAAATTACTAATTAAATAAAAAAAAGTTTGTTCATCAAATGATTAAAGGTCTTGGAGAATAGACTGCCTTTGGAGTTGGAGATATTTAATTGGAATCTATTCAATAAATGCAAGAGTGAGTTCATAAATCGCTAAATTATATATGATTAAAGTATAGGAGTATAAGCGTATCCTTGATATGGAACCATAAATCAAATCATAACCATAGGAAAGTGATAATATGGATAACCTCGAAGTAATTCCAAAGTATTAATTGCATCACTATATGATTCGGTGAATGCTTCATAAGTTTAGAAATAAGAAATTTAATATCAAAAGAAAATAAGAAAAGGTATAACTTACTTCATTCCTTTCCATAATCTTAGGGGACAGAAATTATTAAAAACTCTCATATTGATTAAAGTCTTGAAGAAATCTCTAAGTATTGTCATCAATTTATTTAAGAAAGTCTGTTATATTGCATCAGAAAATGCTTCCAAATTATCAATAAGTAGATTTAGAAAATTATAAATTCTTGTTAGTAAATAATACTTAAAAATAAAGCTCAAATATTTTCATTTATTTAATTATTCAGTAATTTGACTAATCAAAAAATTGGAACTAAGTATTCCTATACAATGATTTTATTCATTTTCTTTTTCTGAATCTGAATCTTCTTAATTACAGCAATCAATACAATTGCACAAAAATGTATATCTTTATTTTTTTAAATAGCATTCACAATATTTTTTAGCACATCCAGTTTTTTTGCAATTACATCCTAAAATTTAGATTTTCTTCATTTATTAACTGCAGTTAGAATTATTACACCCTAAACAATTGCATTCTATATTACAAGCTCTTCCTGCTGCAAAACACTCACAATAAGATTTTTAACATTTTGATTTCATGCATTTGCATTTGATACTTTTTTCATTTTATTTTTGCTTTACAAATTTTTATTGTATCGGAAATGGTTTTTTTCCACTATGAGAACTTGGACTATCATCAAGATCAAAAAATTTTAGTCTTGGTATGGGTGATTCTCTTAAGGGAGATGTAGTTCCACAAAAATCATCAGATTAAATAAGGTTTAGTGCAAATCTAACAAAAGAATTGCAATTCTCGGCAGCCATTACAATTATTAATCATTATTGATTATCCAGAATCATATTTTCAAGTTAACTAATAAACTAGTTAAAATTTAATAATAATGACTATTATCTAATATTCTTTTGATATAATATTTATCAATATACTTTAGTTTAACTAAACTATTTAGATATATTTTTAACCTTTTGATTCCTGTACAAATCTTTTACGTAAATGAAAACTAGTATTTGAAAATATGATTATTACCAAAAAATAAAGTGTGTATGCGTGTGTAAATATTTAGTATAGAACAAATATTATATTACATTGTTTTAATTATCTAAAAAATTGGGATTTAACATATAAAAATATTAACTTTTAATTTAAAAGCAAGATATTTTATTTAATTTAATGTTTTTAACAAATAGTTCAATTTTATAAAATTGCCATTTGAATTGATGCATATTTTAAAAATATAACATTACGCTTTTCCAAGGATTTTAATTCTAAAGTAATGAAATTGTATATTAATTAAAAAGTTTTTTAATGTAAAATAATTTTTTATTATCTAATACTATTTTAATTTTAATACAAAATCTGCTTTGTTTTCAATTTATTTCAGGCATTACAAATAGAATTTTGTTTTTTTGAATTTTATGAAAAAGTTATTTTTCTTACAAATTTTTCTCATTTATTTAATTTTTTATCATTCATAAATATATATCCCATTGAAGCTTCTTAAACTAGAAAGGTTGATATATTGTTCAATAAATTTTAAATTAATTAATTATCATAATTCTCTATCGCAAATAATGTTTTCAAAAGATTCCTTATAAATGAGAAAAATATCAAAATAAAAATTTAAAGCAAACTTATAAACTAAGGTTACATTATATCTTCAAAAATAATAGAATCAAAACGTTCTTAAAGTAATTTCTCGGATTTTGGTATTTAATAAAAAATAAAAAATCCCTGATTGCTTTTAAAAATCAAATATTTAAATTGTGGGAGAGATATGGTTACTCGTTTTTTTTTATAAATATTTTCGACAGAAACAATTCCAATAAAATTCTATTTATTTCTGATATGATGATGAAAAGAAATTCTATTAATCCTAATTAGTATTTTAAAATAATTTTGAGGTTTAATTAATTAAAATTTGTTTTTCTATTAAAAATATTATGAACCCTTGCAGAAGCATATCATAAGAATTCTAATTACCAGATGATTTTTTAAGTGTGTTTAAATCCTACATAGCAATTACTTAAGGAGGATAAGATAAAAGAGTAACTCAATCATAAGTAANAAATTTTAGTCTTGGTATGGGTGATTCTCTTAAGGGAGATGTAGTTCCACAAAAATCATCAGATTAAATAAGGTTTAGTGCAAATCTAACAAAAGAATTGCAATTCTCGGCAGCCATTACAATTATTAATCATTATTGATTATCCAGAATCATATTTTCAAGTTAACTAATAAACTAGTTAAAATTTAATAATAATGACTATTATCTAATATTCTTTTGATATAATATTTATCAATATACTTTAGTTTAACTAAACTATTTAGATATATTTTTAACCTTTTGATTCCTGTACAAATCTTTTACGTAAATGAAAACTAGTATTTGAAAATATGATTATTACCAAAAAATAAAGTGTGTATGCGTGTGTAAATATTTAGTATAGAACAAATATTATATTACATTGTTTTAATTATCTAAAAAATTGGGATTTAACATATAAAAATATTAACTTTTAATTTAAAAGCAAGATATTTTATTTAATTTAATGTTTTTAACAAATAGTTCAATTTTATAAAATTGCCATTTGAATTGATGCATATTTTAAAAATATAACATTACGCTTTTCCAAGGATTTTAATTCTAAAGTAATGAAATTGTATATTAATTAAAAAGTTTTTTAATGTAAAATAATTTTTTATTATCTAATACTATTTTAATTTTAATACAAAATCTGCTTTGTTTTCAATTTATTTCAGGCATTACAAATAGAATTTTGTTTTTTTGAATTTTATGAAAAAGTTATTTTTCTTACAAATTTTTCTCATTTATTTAATTTTTTATCATTCATAAATATATATCCCATTGAAGCTTCTTAAACTAGAAAGGTTGATATATTGTTCAATAAATTTTAAATTAATTAATTATCATAATTCTCTATCGCAAATAATGTTTTCAAAAGATTCCTTATAAATGAGAAAAATATCAAAATAAAAATTTAAAGCAAACTTATAAACTAAGGTTACATTATATCTTCAAAAATAATAGAATCAAAACGTTCTTAAAGTAATTTCTCGGATTTTGGTATTTAATAAAAAATAAAAAATCCCTGATTGCTTTTAAAAATCAAATATTTAAATTGTGGGAGAGATATGGTTACTCGTTTTTTTTTATAAATATTTTCGACAGAAACAATTCCAATAAAATTCTATTTATTTCTGATATGATGATGAAAAGAAATTCTATTAATCCTAATTAGTATTTTAAAATAATTTTGAGGTTTAATTAATTAAAATTTGTTTTTCTATTAAAAATATTATGAACCCTTGCAGAAGCATATCATAAGAATTCTAATTACCAGATGATTTTTTAAGTGTGTTTAAATCCTACATAGCAATTACTTAAGGAGGATAAGATAAAAGAGTAACTCAATCATAAGTAAATATTTTTGCTACAAATATTCATTCATAATAAATGAATGCTTAGAAAAATATTTATAATGACTTTGACATTGCTTTTGCAGTAGGAATGGTTTTCAAAATTCTTGTAACTTAGAAAATTGAATTATTAGATTATTTTTGTAAATGACATTATTAATATTATTTTAGGTACATATTAATAAAATATGAATGAGAAGTAAAAATATGCCTTTGAATTGCTTAAATTCACTACATATTAGCTTGATAAAAGAGATCCTTAACTCTATTTAAATACTTTGTTAGCAAATAAACATATTCCTTACCAACTTTTATAAGGAGAAGTCAACTTATCTAAAATATATTCTTTTGTTTATTTGTGTGATTTAGGCAGCTTTTTTAAATAATTTAGCAATGGTTAAATTTTCAAATTTGTCTTTTGGCAAGGTTCTAATAAAATTAATTTGAAATAAGTGACAAATGAAATAGATCTTTACTTTTATTAGCCTTCTGCTTCATTGTATTTTTTATTATTATCTTAGTCCAATTATTATTTTACAATAATACGATGAAGTTTAATTAATGTATAAGATTTTTGAAGAACATTAAATATTCATGACTCACATTTCTATATAATTAATATTAGATGCAGTTTCTGGAAAATTATCAACAACTTCAGAAAATTTAAAGTCTTAACCTTATAAATTTGAATCATTACAAAGTCTTGGGGGAGTTTTATTCGCAGGATAACCAAATTGGCAAGAAAAAGTGGAAAAATTTGCTAAAATCTAAAACATGTAATTGTATTTGATTATTTTAAGAGGGAACACTCTAGGATTTTTGATCAATCCACAAGCTACATTTGAATTAGTAAAGAAAAGTTTGGAAGAAAGTTAAGAATAAGATGTTTAATAATAACAAATGTAAGCTTAAGGTGCAAATAAAACTTCTTTTGACCCTTTTGCTACACAAATTCCAACAGAAAGTTAAGCCGTAAACAATTTGAGAAAAACAATTTCATATTGAAAAATATGATAGTTTATAAATAAAATAATTTTCAGATTATTCCAAATTTTTTTATGACTTTTTATAAATCTTCTATATTTAAAGGTTTGTCTAAATGATCATTAGCTCCACATTTTTAAGATTTAAGCTTGTCATCAGATCCTGTAAAAGCAGTCACAATAATTATTAAAGATTAACTTAATTTATATATTTATTCAAATTTCCTTCTTTCTTTTATAAATTAACGAATGATACTTATGTACAATTAATTTTCATTAATTTTATTCAGCCTCTTTATTACCTATTAACATTTCACATTTAATCTCTTAATATTGATCATATTTTTACAGAATATCTTCTATCAAGAACAATTATATTAGTAGTTAAATTAGGTATTTACATATTATCTTCTCTTAAAAATATTGCATTTTAGACTTTTGATAGAAAGATTCCATTTCTGTCTTTTTTTCCATTTATAACCTAAACCTGTGACTATATCATACATCCCTTGTAAGATCAATAAATAAACTTAAAGTTTTAGAAACTTCTTCTTATGTTCAAATAGGTTTGTATTAAGGGATTTCCTGAACAAATTTATGAATTAATTAATCCCCTCTACTTAGTCTATTCATGTCTGTGATTGGCCCCAAGATTCTTCTAAATTCAATATATATTCTCAAATGCAACTTATCATATTTTTAAATCTTTAAAAAAAATATTTTATCTGATTAAATTATGCTTTATATTAATAAAACTGTGAACTTCAATTTAAAAAAACTTAATCCAATTTTTTTTCATCAAGCATACAATCGTAAAAATTACCTGGTTTTATATATGATTAGAATAATTATTCAATAAAGAACAACATAGTCTCATGATAAAAATCTTCTCATATCAAACTTTTAGTAATTTAAAACAAAATTTTTATAAAACTCTTTATTTCTTACATTAAAATCTTCTACGTTAATTGCTACCTTTATTCTAATGAATGGTAGATTTTATTATCTAAATTTAATTCATTTAATATAAATAATTAATATTGTTGGGGATTCTCAAATCTTAATTTCGAAACTTTTATTTAAAATATTGTAAATGATATTTACCTCTTTCCTCTTAATAACTGAAATAGAGTATTTTTTGATTTTTCAGGAACAATATTAAAAATATAAAATAGGAAGTTGTCTTCTATGCAAATAAATCAATTTTATTAAAATGATAGGAAATATAAAGGTAACGGCAAATTGGGTATAATCAATCTAATTGTAAGATAATTTCAATTTAGTATATATTATAAATGTGTCCCTTACCATAGTCTTAGGGGAATAATTTTGTGTAAAATTTTTTTTTTTAGATAATTAGTTTATTTAAGTTAGCGGTCTTTATTCAATGTATAGGACCATAAATCTATAAATTCAAGTCAATTTTTTGATAAAATGACTAATTTTAGACATTTACTTCTTGAATTCTAAGACGTATTAAATATTAAAGCTAATAATTTTAATATAAAATGTTAAAAATATATCAATTTTTTTTAAAGTTCTTTTTTCATCCTGAAGAAACAAATGATGTGGAACCAAAAAAAATTATGAATTTATGGACATTGAGTTTTAAAAATTAAGATTTGGAGGAAAAATATTCAAATAAAGAAAAATAAAGAATTATTGTCTTGTTTCGATTGTAGTACTTAATACACTTCCTAATTAATGTTATCTATTTTGTTAACAACCAATTTTTTTTGAAAAATCATTTAGTTGCATATTTTAGAGTGGCATTTTGCTTTTGGCATATAATTTGCATGATATCATAAGCTAACATAAAAAGAATTCATTATAAATCATTTATAGCAATTTCAGAATTTTTAAGTTGTGTAATAACTATTCTCATAGCTTATGCATACGTATAAGCTTAATTGATAAATAAACAATGTGGTAAATAAACAACATCATAAGCTGTCAGTAGTGGAATATAAACCGGAATTATTATTATTAGTTATTTACTTGTTTGTCCCTTATGGTTTATTTAAGGATTAATATTAATAGCTGCAACAATTTTATTTATAGGCTTGATGGGGAATTTAGCATCTATATATTGGACATTTTATGTTTTACTATTGATGATGCTAGTATTTTTTCGATTTCTTGAATATTACAAAAGAATTGATTTTTATACAATTTGTTAGTAAACTTCAAATTTACATGCTTGCAAAAACATCTTTGATAAAACAGTTCCTAATTCAATATTAATACTTACTGAAAATAATCAGAGTCTATAAGATTCAACAAGTTAGAGTAAAGAAATGAAGTTAATCTATAGTAATGATTTTGCAATTAAATACTTATAAGTTTCAGACGAAAATGAAGTAATTTAAAAATTAAAGAGTATTTACATTTAAACCGACTAAGAATCTATTTAAGACACTTATAATTCATGTGTGAGTATTTATGATGTATTATATTAAAAAATGGGGTAGTTTGAAGAATAATTTATTGAATAAATGAAAACAAACAGAACTACAGTCTTATAAAATGAATATGACATATCAGAATTTAGTGATTATTTTTTATGTTTTCGATTTGACTAATAAAATAAGGTACCATTATCTTCAAAGTAATAATTAAAAATAAAATCTCATTTTGAAATTAGAGTTTTGCATTGTATATGGGAAAACAAACATTCAATTTTAGTTATCATGAATGACATATCTGAGAAGATAAGATTAAAGCATTTAAAGGACTTAGATCAATATAAAGATAGATTATTAGCTACAGTATCTCATGATTTAAAAACACCATTAAATGGAATGATGATAGATATAAACATTATGCAAAATATTTTACAGCAAAAATCAAGTATAACACATAACAAAATTGAGTAACTTTGTGGTCATCTTGATGAATTCAATTAATCAGGATAATTGTTACTATCAATGATTAATGATTTACTTGATTACAGCCAAATTAATAAAGGATACTTGAGATTGATTCCTAAAACTTTCAATTTAAATACTACTTTCAAATTTATAAATTCTTTATTAATTAGGCAATCTAATGAAAAAGGAGTTTAGCTAATTTGGAATAATCAAATTGATCCAAAAAATTCTGATTTATTTACAGATGAAAATAGATTAAAATAAGTCTTAATTAATTTAGTTGCTAATGCCATTAAATTTACTATGTAAGGTGAGATTGTAGTTTCAGCATCTTAACCTATTGAAAAAGACCTTGTTGAAATTTCAGTTTCTGATACAGGATATGGAATACCAGAAGATATATAAAAAAATCTCTTTAGATTATACAGTACTTTTGATATTGGAAATAATAATAGACATGGTGTTGGCTTAGGGTTAACAATTAGTTAATAACTTGTATCTTTATTAGGGCCGACTGATAAGATTGAATTAAAATCATAGGTGGGCAAAGGCTCTACATTTAAATTTGTAATTTTTAGAAAATTGCACTAATCATTAGAAAATTCCATACAGGAATAAGATTTAAATCAAAAATAAATTGTTCCTAGATTTCCCTCTTACAAAAATTTAAATCAAATAATTAGAAAAAGAAAAACTTAATTTAAAAAAGCCTAAACTTATTATAAATTAGAGAGTATTCCTGATGAATATCTAAAAGTACTAATTGTTGATGATACTCCTTTTAATATAATTGCTCTAAGTGCAATGTTAAATTAAGTGATTCATAATTGTAAACTATATAAAGCATTTAATGGCAAACAAGCTTTTGATTTATATTCAAAAGAATAAATGAGTGTTATTTTTATGGATGTAAATATGCCAGAAATGGATGGCTACTAATGTACATAAGAAATAAGGAAATTTGAATAAATATATAAATTAAGTTAATCTTTAATAATTATTGTGACTGCTTTTACAGGATCTGATGACAAGCTTAAATCTTAAAAATGTGGAGCTAATGATCATTTAGACAAACCTTTAAATATAGAAGATTTATAAAAAGTCATAAAAAAATTTGGAATAATCTGAAAATTATTTTATTTATAAACTATCATATTTTTCAATATGAAATTGTTTTTCTCAAATTGTTTACGGCTTAACTTTCTGTTGGAATTTGTGTAGCAAAAGGGTCAAAAGAAGTTTTATTTGCACCTTAAGCTTACATTTGTTATTATTAAACATCTTATTCTTAACTTTCTTCCAAACTTTTCTTTACTAATTCAAATGTAGCTTGTGGATTGATCAAAAATCCTAGAGTGTTCCCTCTTAAAATAATCAAATACAATTACATGTTTTAGATTTTAGCAAATTTTTCCACTTTTTCTTGCCAATTTGGTTATCCTGCGAATAAAACTCCCCCAAGACTTTGTAATGATTCAAATTTATAAGGTTAAGACTTTAAATTTTCTGAAGTTGTTGATAATTTTCCAGAAACTGCATCTAATATTAATTATATAGAAATGTGAGTCATGAATATTTAATGTTCTTCAAAAATCTTATACATTAATTAAACTTCATCGTATTATTGTAAAATAATAATTGGACTAAGATAATAATAAAAAATACAATGAAGCAGAAGGCTAATAAAAGTAAAGATCTATTTCATTTGTCACTTATTTCAAATTAATTTTATTAGAACCTTGCCAAAAGACAAATTTGAAAATTTAACCATTGCTAAATTATTTAAAAAAGCTGCCTAAATCACACAAATAAACAAAAGAATATATTTTAGATAAGTTGACTTCTCCTTATAAAAGTTGGTAAGGAATATGTTTATTTGCTAACAAAGTATTTAAATAGAGTTAAGGATCTCTTTTATCAAGCTAATATGTAGTGAATTTAAGCAATTCAAAGGCATATTTTTACTTCTCATTCATATTTTA